GAGTGAAATATTCTCATTATGAACTGAGCGGGGCTAGTGTTTTTACAAGAAATCTCTAGCCAACCTTCCTGCAAAAAACCGTTTCCTAACATCCAAGATGGTGGTGCTATATAAAAATAGAGAAATATTATGTTAACTCCAACAATTTCTTTGTCCTTAACAACCTTTAATTTTTAGGAATTAGTCACTTCAATAGTTTTCGATGGTTATATAGGTATCCAAAGCATGAATGAGATGGATATTTGTTATCCTAACCATTCTTCTCAGTCCCGATCCCAATAAGGAAAAGGGGAAATTTATAGCAAAGTTTCATGTTGTTGATTCCTAAGTGTAGTGCTTCTTCCTCTGTGCCACCTAACGGTACTAGTGGTGCAGGATTAACCTGCAAGACATAATTCATAGCTATAGGTGTAACCTTTTCGCTCAATACTAGAATCGACAATTGAAACATTGGAAGCTATATTAATTGGGGATACACGTCAGAAGAATTTTTTTTTTTTTAGAAACGTCACCTTCAATAAATATAGATTTTTTTTTCAAATCTTTCTATCCCGGCTAATGTGTCTTTCTCCTAAGACTTGGAGCAGTAAATAAAAAAAATCAATCACACCATCTCTGTAATAAGTAAATGCCTCTTTTTCTCTTGAAGTTGTCCGAATTATTTATAATAAGATATTGCCTACAATTGAAAAGGTCTTATCAATCAAATTTTCAATTATCCAGATCTAGGCATATGGAGCAATCCATTTTAAAATTTCTTTTAATTACCTCTTGTGAAAAAACAATCCTACAAAATTAGTACCAATTCATATGCTTCCTCTTTATGGTTCACTAACATTTTCTACAATTGAGCTATTTAAAAATTATTTATATAGGAAGAGTTTTTATCCACTTCGCTCATAACTTTTCATCTAAGCTTAATTAGTTGAACGATTAATTTGTGAAAAATCCATACTTTATACCCTTTTAGATCTTATATTATTGTCTTGTTGTATAAAATTTATCATAACTCAAATTTTAACCATTTTATTCTTTTATTTTTATTATATTTCCTGGGAAAAAAATAAAAAATGAAATAAATGAAGAATAAATTAAAATGTGGTTTGAAACAACATGAACAAAAGTTAGGGGATTTAATTAAACTTTGGTTTAGTTTAATTAAATAACTCAAGAGCTTAATTGTAGAATTGATAAATTTTTGGGGACTTAATTAAACTTGGATTAGTTTAATTAATGAAATCAGGGGGTTTAATTGAAGAAATATGAAAGTTTAGGGCAATGGAGGATAGAAGTGAATAATTCAGAATAACAAGGACTGTTCTGTAAATGGTGCTAAAATCTAGGGGTCCAATAACAATTTATTTAGGGGCTTGGTTACAAAATTATGAAATCCCAAGGACCAAATTAAAAATAGCAATTTGAATTGGAAAACGAAGCCGTTTCTTGAACACCTGTTTATTTCATCATCGTCATCGTCCAGATCAGTGCTAGCCTCTTCTCCGGTTGCACCACCTCTCCCCCAACGCAGAGAGGACATAACACCGGGAAACAAAAAACAGATAGAAAACCAAAAGAAAAGGAAGAACCACAGAGAGACGAACAACACAGGAGTCAAGAGAACAGAGAGGAGAAAAAGAAGAAGAACATAAAGACAGAGAGAAAACCGGTGACCCGAACAAGAGAAGATAAGAAGAAACAGAAGCAGAGGGGAACATGGGTTAACCAGCCCTCCCTCGTCAACACCTTCGTCTTTAAGCAGCGTCTCCTGAAGAGAAACACAGAGAAGACCAAGGGATAACACAGGGGTGAAGAAGAAGACGAGTGCAGACAAGAATTGAACGAAAAGGAGAATCAGAAACGAAAATAGTAGCAGTAGGAGAGAAAGAAACGGCGCCCAACTAGAGCACCGATTGCCCTCAACTTCGTCTTCATCTTCAGGAGTAGCAAACTAGGGAAGTCTCCCTCTTCTTCTCTTACCCCGCATTATAATTCACGCTACTGTAGCTGTATAATTCACTTGCTGCTGTGAATTATAATTCACCATTAGCAATGAATAAATGCTTCGTTTCTGAAGCAAGCGTGCGTTGTCATGCACTCCTGCTGCTTAACTGGGTCACTGCCATTGGGTTCGGTTTAGCCCAGTTTATACTGGTTAAGTCTGATCCAACCTAAAAAAATTATGCATCCATTGATTTTAAATTACTTTACTGGTGATATGTTCACTGACATTAAAATAAAAAATGTTATATTGTTTTTTAATTATATAATATTTATTATAAAATATTTATAGTTAAATATTGATTAATATTAGAATCAATAATATTATAAACAGATTATTAGTAGCATAATATAACAAACATGTAGTATAATATACACCAAAGTTCTATATTATAAAATCTTTGTTGGTCATTTAGGGTTCCTAATAATTATAATATTAGGTATTGATTTCTTAAATAAGATATTTTTTTTTTAAAATAAAATATTAGAAATTTATTATTTTCATTAATTTATTTTTAAGATTACGGTATGGCAAAATAAATAAATAATAAAACATTTTGTTTTTGAGTTGGCAAAATGAATGATTGCAGTGCATGAATCTTCAGGCTATTTTGAAAACTTATCAAAGGCAGAAGTTTTAATCAGCATGGCTCAGACTAGCACTTTTAAAGAAGAAATTATTTTTAAGGATAATGAGACTAGTTTTGCAGTCAAGATGTCCGGAATGGTAATGGATGGATTTCCGGTCCTTGAGGAGTTACAGCATGCCATGTTAACTTTTGTCCCTGATAATGTCGAAGGTGATGATCTTGTATACAAACCAGAAACAGTGGAGAAAAACAAAGAGGCTTGTAAACATTCCATGGAGAAATCTACAATTGATTCAGATTACATCGATGATGTGACTTTTTTCTTCTCTGAGTGTGCATCGAGATTGAAGGAATTAAACATAACAAGGCATGCATGCTTTTGACTCTCAAATGCACTCTATAAACAGTTTGTTTCCAGAAAGAAATCCAGGAGGTTACAGTGGATGGCTTTTTGGTAGACAAACCATACTAGTTGGGGCTTATGGATGTTCCACTACACGGGTTGATAAATAATACAGGGGAGGCAAAATTTGGGTCTGATAATGGGGATTATGAATTCCTTGACCGGTATGGCGGATGTAGATGGGACATCATCAAATCACACCTTATCTCCAGGAAATTTTGATATGGCTAATATCACTACGCGTAAGAAGAAGAAAAAGGGTTGTGTGAAGAAGCAGCATCGAAAGGTAAAGCACTTAAATCTTTAGGGGGGTTTTGAGGGAACTAATTTTGGCATGTTTATAGTGATTCATCCATGAACTCAAGAATTATGGCATCTAATTTTCGCAATTCTAAATGCAGAAGTGAAGTGAATATAGAGATGGGTGCTTGTTCTTATCAGAAATCTGAGGTGGAGAGATCAGTGAGTGCCAAGCATGATTTGGGCATTACAGTCTTGTATGGGGAGGAGGCTCCGAAGAGTCAATTTCAAGCAATGGCTGGTGAGAAGTTGTAGAATGGGTGAAAACAGTATATATTGTGAAGCCAACCATCTAAGTCAATAATGGTGGGAGAAGGTTATAGGCACTAAATTGGTGCTATTTGCCTAATCCCTTGTCTTTTGCATGGATGCTTACCTATAAATAGACAATACTATTTGCCTAATCCCTTGTCTTTTGCATGAATGTTTATCTATAAATAGACAATGCATCCAAGTATTATAGACACACCACAAGAGAGAAACTTGAGAGCAAGTAGAGAGAAAGAAGAGAGGGTGAAGAGAGAGTAATCCCGTAAAATTATGAGGTATTTGTAAGATAATAAGTTAGATGTTTTCTCCTAGTAATAAAGAGATTTCAGTTATTCTTCTATTATTAGAGAGAAGTTGTATTCCTACATTACTCAGTAAAATCCTTCTATACTTGCCTGTGGACGTAGCCCAATTGGGTGAATCACGTAAATTCTTGTATGTCTCATTTCTTATTTTATTCTGTCCCTTACCTTTTATCTTGTCGGGTTTGCATGCCAAGATCCTAACAGTGATATCAAAGCATTATGGTTGGTATTGTTAATACATAAAAATTATTCGTGTATACGATTACTATTCACATCTATAGTACTATTCACCTATACGACATTATTCATCTATACGGTACTGTTCACATATATTGCTGTTGGAGTATATAGAAAGTCAGTGCGGTAATTAAATATAGTTTAGGAAGTTTTGTCTAAGGAGATTGGGTTTTAAGCGAGACCGTTTGTGACCCCTCCAATCTTTCCTAGAAACTTACTTAGTGAAGTATTATTCACACAATACTATTTCTGTATACGTTACAGATCTGTGAAATAGTGATAACTAAATAGATCTCGGTGAATACAATGACAATAAAGTATGAGATTAAGAGATTTAATGAGAGCAATTTCTCACTGTGGAAAATAAGAATCAAGGTAATCTTAAGGAAAGACAATTGCTTGGCAGCAATTGGGGATCGACCCACAAAGATTACTGATAATGCAAAATGGAATGAGATGGATGCCAATGCTATTGCTAACATACATTTAGCATTAGCCGATGAAGTATTATCAAGTGTGGCAGAGAAGAAAACAACTAAGGAGATATGAGAGACTTTAACAAAGCTATACAAGTCCAAGTCTTTGCATAATAAGATTTTTTTAAAATGGAGACTTTATACCCTTCGAATGGCAGAAACCACGTCGGTGACGGACCACATCAACGCAATAAGAATTTTATTTTCACAACTTACTATATTGGGTCAGCAAATAGAGGAAAATGAACTTATAGAGCTTCTACTTCAAAGTCTTCCTGATTCGTATGATCAACTCATTATCAACTTGACAAATAATATCTTCTCATACTATCTAGTCTTTGATGATGTTGCAGCCACTATCTTAAAAGAAGAAAATAGGCGCAAAAACAAAGGAGATAAAAATAGTTTAAACCAAGCAGAGGCGTTGTTGGTGTCAAGAGGAAGATCAACGGAGCGTGGCTCCAGTAGGAGTCAAAGGCAGGGGAGGTCCAAATCAAGAAGTAAGAAGACTGTGAAATGCTACAACTGTGGCAAAAAGAGGCACTGCAAAAAGGATTGTTAGTTTAAAAAGGGTATAGAGAATACTCCAGAGTTATCAAAATCTCAAGGATGTGTTGCGAGCACCTCAGAAGATGGAGAGGTTTTATATAGTGAAGCAGCGACAATCTCTATAGATAGAGAGGAGTTCACGGAGGTCTAGCTAATGGATTCAGGAGCAACATGACATATGACTCCTAATCGAGATTGGTTCCATACATATAAACCTATATCTAGAGGCAAAGTGTTCATAGGCGATAATCATGCTTTAGAGATTGTTCTCGATTGAGCTGAAGACACCAATGGAGATATGGACTAGAAAACCAGTTGATTATTCTTGATTGTATATATTTGGAAGTCATGTGTACGTGATGTACAATACACAAGAAGTTAGCAAGCTGGATTCAAAATTCAGAAAATATGTATTCTTGGGATATGCTGATGGAGTGAAGGGGTATCGCTTGTGAGATCCCACTACCTACAAGGTAGTCATCAGTAGAGATGTCATATTTGCAGAAGGCAAAATGCAAATGGAAGAACGTAATAGCATTCTAAAGGAGACTAAGCAGTCCATGTGAAAAATACTCAGAATCATACTTCTTCTAAAGTTATACTAGAGCATGAAGAGCAAGAATAAATAGAGTTTGAAACTCT